TGAAATTTTTAATGACTTAGGGAGCAAGGGGGGGGGTATCACATATACTCAGTAAAAGATTTTTTTAGATTATGATTTATTTTAAAGGGACATAGGTTATAGCCCATCAATAAAACAATGTTTCCTAAATAATATATGTACATATATGTTTGTATGTGTTCCTATGTATAACAGGGAGAAAACACTGAACAACTGGATTAAGCTTTGGGTCTTCTATATAAATACCAGTCAATATCCAAAATATTACTTCTTATTCTTCATGAAACCATCTGTTTTCTTGATTCAAGCCTTTGGGGACTGGTCAGTCTTAATGATATTAGCTCTGGAACACAGAAATGAGCTTCTTTCTGCCTGATTTGACAGGGTTAACAGTTGGTTTGTGAATTGATAATGCATGGTTTGATTCATTGATTCCTGTGCCAAGTGGGTGAGATGTAATAAGCAGTGTTACTTGTCATTAAATCATTACAGAGCAGTAAAACATTTCTTTAGCAAAATGAATAGTAATTGTGCGGAAGTGTAGGTGTGCATAAAGTGACAAGATACTCTTATTTTACCATCTTGTAACATGATTGCCTACTTTTGTAAGCATCTTCAACTATGCCTTGTAGTGCTGTTTTTGCAAATCCATTTGATGTTGTTACATGTCTACGCTGTTGGAGCTTTTTTATTTTACATCCACGAGAAGATCATCAGTTGGCCAAATGTGCATATTGATGGTGTTAGGGACCTGATCATTTTTGATTTGATCATTGACACTGGTGTCATTTGTAAGAGAATATCAAAATCATGTGGTTGAACCATGTTTTTCCAAGAGCACAAGGAAAAAAATCAATGCTAATTGCAAAACAATGTTAAGAGGAGAATAAATGGAATTAGTTTCAGTAAAGTACTCTGCAATTCTGCATAATGGGATATTTTTGTTTATTACAGCTAATAGACATCAATCAGTGCCTTCGTTAACTTACAGTCAAGTCTATAAACCATTTGGAAGCTACTTCTGTCTTGCAAGATATCCGCTTAAAAGAATCTTACCATTGCATGAAGGAACTATGTTACATGTAACTACTCAAAGAACTAGATTAATCCAACATAAGAGGGATTAATTTATCTGTCTGTCTTCATGTCGGCTTGATTATCAACCAAGAAGCTCCCAAGTTGATAATCATTTCAGTCTTCAAATGTAATAAACTCACTTTGTCTTGAAGTAATGTAAATGTGAAAACCACATTTTGATCTTAAAATGTGCAAGTTTTAGTGGGTAGTATGGTGATTATATTGAACATTTGTGTTTGATGTTCTTTATTTATAAGTAAGCCAACACAGCATTAGAGCACAATCCCTGGTATGATGTATTGGATAAATTTGCTCATACAATAAGATGTGGAAAAAAATGAAGAAAAAATCAATTTATGAACATGTTACATGTTTGAGAAGTACTCTATCACCATTGAATGGACTGACTCTTAATGTAACAGGTGTTTTTATAAATGTGCGCATGACCAGGAGCAGGTAGACATAATTTTAGAACACCAAGTATGCATATTAATGGCATTAAGTATTGATCCTATTTGCATGTAAGCTAATATGACATATCATCATTAGGGTCACTCAGCAATTTGAAATTTTCTTAATCATTAATGCATGCATCTAATTGCTAATGGTGTTTTGATATTCATTTGATAAAGCATTAGAACAAATAATCATTGGTGAGCTAAAGGTAGGTCTCATCTGAGAATTTTTACCTGTTATGCAGCTAAACAGGTCTGTAGGTGGTTAGGTTTTCTCAGGCAAAAACCCTGGTTTTTCCTGAGGTCTAATATTTGCCTGAAGCCTAGGTCCCAACTACGTTTTGGACGCACAGTTTTTTAGATTCCTTGCGTCCAGCCAGGATGTAGCTAGATCGCACGTAGCAGCTGTCGATCAAGTTTCTACGTGCTGTTTGTGTCCTCCAAAAGTCGCACGATGGACATGCTCCTCACGCACAAACTCCCACATTTTCCCCATTTTTTTGGCCGTAGACCACACGTAGCAGCCCGTACATTCGGTTAGGACCTAGGCTTTAACAATCTAGAAAAATAAGAAGAAAAAAAACTTTAACCCAAAGTCCCCCATTCTTTCAGGTTCTACAGGGACGCTCTGTCAGGAAAGTGGACAGGGTGTGAGATTTTGTTTTTGAGATAATAGATAAGATTATGATTGGGGACAATTATTCAAAACATATTATCTGTTAAAAAATTTTTTAAAGTATCAATTGCCCTTAATTAAGTGCAACAAGAAATGGTTTATGTGCTTTGAGATAAGAATGTGTGTTTGTAATCTTACACTTTGTCTTTTTAACAGTATTATACCATTAGTCCAGCTTTCACATCGGCTATTTTTGATATGTAAATTCATTTAGCAAATGGGTATCCATAGTAATAAAAAAGGACATCTTAATTTACGTTGATAGCAAAGTGTTTATATGTATGTGTCTGTATTTACGCCAGATGCCATCACTTTTCACCTCTGAACATCACCAGAAAACCTGTGACATAGTTACCGCCATCTATCACCCAGTTACTTAAATGTTTAATCTGTCTGATGCAGGATGTGTAAGAAAGGTGTGGAAAACAAATATAAGAAACAAGGCAATACGGTATGTGGTTTTTGATAAAACAAGAGGATGCTTTTATGAAATACGCTGAAAGTACTTTTTGGCAAATGCATTCCGTTCCTAGACTGTATTTACACAATAAAATGACATGTTAAGAAAAAGGCATATAATGAATTATCTAAATGGCTTTGTATAACTTCACTGGCAGATGATTATTTGTATCATGATAGTTGATATGTAACAGAGCTCGGCAGCTGAATAACACAAATGGTGTTAGGAACAGTAGGTGAAGAACACCAGGTGGATATGGCTCAGGAATATTGATTGGTGAGAATTTATACACCTACGACAGTGACAAGATACCTGTAGAGGTGACATCTCTATTCCTCTGGCGTCAGACAGACAGGCAGACACACAGACAGCCAGGCAAGCAGGCAGGCTGATCTTGTTTCTTGGCATCCACAAATTGAGTATGTTAATTGATTACAGTTCCGAAGTGTTATTTTCATATTTAAATGAGGGGGACGTGTCCCATTGCCTTTGTGGTTGAGTTGTCACTGTCATTATTGATGAATTGTGATAACATGTTGTTGACATTGACATGGAGGGTGGGGTCCTTGATTTTTTAAAACTATGTCAGGTTGTCACGGAAGAGTACATTTTATGTAGGCTTTTGAAATAGTATTTTTTCAGTGTAATTGAAATAATGCAAATTCTGTTTACATGAACAGGCACAGTATGATTTTGTAGTTTTTTTATTATTTAAGATGATATACACATTGTCAGGAAATTAGGATTTAAAGGTGATAAAAGATAGGAAAATAGCAGGACATTCATAAAAGTGAGATATATAGCAGCAGATTGTACTGTTATGTCAGCAGCCTGGAAGGTGTGGCACTTGTTAGCATAGTTGTGGTATAAGTGAGATTCACTTCTAAATATTTAACCTGTATATGATATGACATTTGAAAGATATAGCTTTGAAGCAGTTATGTAAGTGCTGAACACAATATTATCTATTATTAGAATGATTTATTTTCAATCATATTGTGATTGTTGCACGATTATTTGATATATAGGACAGTTAGTGCTGGCAGTTGAATTACGAGACTGGATCTTATTGAAGTATAATCATTTCAAAATGTCAGCCAGAATTGATACATAAGTAGTTATGTCATATTTGGGTGCTGGTTCAAATACAGATAACATCCCTCCTTATCTTCATTTGAAAGAATGATTGATTTTTTTTACTGCCTGTCCACTGGCTTCTTTCTCATTGGAAACACTAGTTATGAATGAAATGGTGGAAGAATCTTATCCATCCACACCCTCCCCACCTAAAACTGAATTAAAAGTTCCAATCAGGCTATTTTTACATTATCACTTTTTGAGCCCTTTTTTCTGGTTTAATTTTTTTAACTTGTTTTTTTTTTTTTTTTTTTTTTTTTTTAATTTTCTCTGGGATAACTACACAACATTATCAAGTTTCATGTTTTCACATCCCTGTTTGTGTTTCATGCCATTTTGAGAGATTGACAACTTAATAAATAACCTGGCTATTATGTAAGAGAGTCATCTAAATGGAGGCAGGCTGCCACACTTGACATGGCCAGGTAACTGGATTAATTTTGACAGCTCCAAACAGTTGGAAGCAAATATGTGAAAGATAGGAAACCCCCTATAGCCTATTTACATGTTAGGGCAAGTAAAAAGGGAAAAGCCTGATATGAAAGACTCTAAATGAATGGTTGAATGAATAAATAAATGAAACAGTTTACATGGACAGGAAATGGTAAAAAGTATAAAAAGTAGAATGCTAAAAAGTAAGGAGAACCATTGTCTGTAAAAACTGGAGTTTCATTTGATAGTGACCTAAATTAGTTTTTATTCATTATGTGATGATAAACTCACTTTATCTGAAAGCAGATAAAACTATGAATGTGCAATATAATGAAAAAAGGGGAAATATGAATATCTGGTACCTACAGAAAATGCCAATTAAAATTTAAGTGCATGTATTGTATTTGATATCATGTGTATTGGTTGAGATATAGCTACTTCTGTTTCATGTTTTATCAGCATTTTGATAAAGTATTTAAAAGCACAGGAAGCCAGAAATGGAAGTTGAAATATCTTTCAGATCTCTAACTCTGATGCTGTGATCACATTCTCTTTCCAGCTATTACCTGGTTGTCATGCAAACATGATATTAATGCTCCAATTATCATGCTGATAGATGTAGTGACATGTGACAAACCCTGGTATGTGGGCCCCTTTCAAAACAGTTGGCCCCAAATAGGTATGATCAAAGCCAGAGGTATTCTCCATAATTCGTAAGAAAATGTCAACCAGAATTTTCAGGTAATAGCTGACATTTGTCTGATGAAGTGTGTAGTGACATTAGAGCCCACTCTGGCTCATCTCAAGCTTTCAGTAAACGTGTGTGCGACTGGTGATTATTGATCCTAGTTTTGCTATAGATCATAATTGTTTGCAGGCTGTCCATGTTAGATAAGGTGGCTGAATGCAGCAGATAGCAGTCACAGACATTACTGTCATCAAGAACTGGGTGGACATTCTTTTTTAGTGACTTATAACAGTTGTGGGCGTAAAAAAGGCTGAGTGAATTATTTTTGGAATTCAGACTTGTTCTGATGTAAAAGAGGAAAACTTTTTGTCCAGAAGGGAAGGAACAAATTAAGGTAGAACAAAACTGTTTTCCAGTTCTATAGAGATACGCTTACAGTATATTGTTTTTGGTGTTCATCTTTATGCTGTGAGAGAAATATGATAGGTAGTATGAATTACAAAATTTATTCACATCCCCACTTGCAACCATGTGGACAGCTCATTTAGGGCTGTGTTATTGAGGTAAAAGCAGCATGATATCCAGCACAAAGTGAGTCCTAAGTAAGTAGTTAATTGAAAGTAGAGACAAAACAGATAAATATTTAGGTGGCTGAGGTCCCTCCACCTGAGACTGAGTAAGCCACAGTTGAAGGTCAGAAGAGGAAAACTGTCAAGCCTATCCATCATTTTGTGCAGGGAAGTGTCGTGATATCCTCTGCCTGCCTGCCCTGCGCAGTCAGAAGGCAGTGGTCACAGGCAACAGTTGGCTGGTCACCTTCTCCTGAGATTCAACTGTTGAAGTGTAGTGGACTTGGATATGGAAGGGCTCTCCACATAGGTGGTGTTCAAGGCAAACAAGGTGGTTTGAGGTTTGGTAGCAGTACGTAGGCATTCGGTAAAATACAGATAGTGGTAGGTGATGCTGTGAGGGTTGAACTCTGATTATTTTGTGAAACAAATCATTAAAAAATTATATACAATCAAGCAGGTGGGTATGTTTAATAGTTTATTGTCTTCACAGTAGAGTAATTTTAAATACTTTGTCACAATAGTTGATAAAAAAGCAAGTTCCGTTTGATAGATGAAGATTATCCCCTTGAATTTAGGTTGTATGAACTCTGACATGGAAGTGAACAAGACTTATTGAATACAGCAATTTGTATGTGTGTGTGTGTGTGTGTGTGTGTGTGCATCATGGAGATATTGTTGAATGAATATCTGGGGCTGTCAGAGAAAGGCAGATTTATGAATGCTTGGCATAATGTTGTTAGATACAGCCTGATGAATGGGAATGCCTTTGATATCTTCATTCAAAGCACGTTGCATTATGCCCTTCAAAATGGCTGCTATACCCAAAGGGGGCATCTCAACCAAGACGTGAAAAAGGGAACATGTATTTTGATACTTATTAGGTTTGTAGCAGTTTTCAAAGGCATTGTTATACCTTAGGGAAAATTTCACCATTCCAGAAACTCTCTCTCTGTCTGTCTGAGTACAGAGCAGATGGATCTGATTGGACTCCCCAGTTTTCTTCCATTGATTCCTGGCAACTTTGTGATGAAACCCTGCTGACTTTTATGATAGCTCCCAGTTGGTGTCAGCTAGGTGGTCTACACCTTAATCAATTATTTACAATGTCCAGCCCCGTTGCTTACTGGACCAGGTATGCTACACCTCAACAAACTGCCTACGCCACTATGTGACTAATAATAATCAAGACTGGAAGTAGCTGTGGTGTAATATTTTGGCAAATATCCATTGCTATAAATGCTGTAACCATGGCAACAGTGTGTAGACCGGTTGGCTATTTACTGACTACAAATTAAGGCGGGCCTGATGTCTGTACACATAACATGTTCTCATTAACAAGCCTGGTACAATACAAACAGCACTCTAAAGGTTGATGAGCCAAGCAATCATTACCGGGGGAAATAATCAAGCTACCACCATCATCAATGCAGTGTTTGTATTATTGATATGGTTAATAATGGGGAGTTGGAAGAGGTTGAGTGTCTCGGCTTTGTTTGCTTTCTTGGTTGAATAACTCCTGATGTAGAAAAATTGTTTGTATAATGGTGTCTGAGATAGGCAAGATGTCCATTACAGGGAGACACCAAACATCATTTAAGAGATTATAATTGAAAAAGATGGGAAAACAGACTACTGCAATCTGATCACTCTAAGCTGACAGGGAGTAATTGAATATTAGCACATTTACAGTCCAAAAGGTGTCATTTATAATGATGCAGTGCATCATTTAGCTGTGCTGAGGAAAAATTGTGTATGTGAAATGGGGAAATATTAGTAATCATTTGCTGTGACCTTCCTTTTTGTGACACACCTTAAGCTGACTCTACTGCATCAACCATTAAGTGTATGATTCATGATGATGTGAAAGTTTTAGAGTTTTTCCGAGGTAGATTGACGCTTTGATTAAATGGAGGGCCTCTTGTTATCTGAGTCTTGAATGTCAACTGAGTGGATAAAGTCTCTTCTCTATTTCGTGCCAGTCAAGATGTGATACCAAGAAATGCAGAGGAGATTACAGGGAATCTAACTGAATAGATTTTACTTTGCATAACATGTTTATCTCCTGGGTGCTTAATTGACTAGTCATTCTATACAGGTTCTTAGACTGTATTAAACAGTGGGGCCAAATATATATATAAATGCAATAACTTAGATTGAACAACCAAATGAGGCAATGAACCAAGTGCTTGTAATGTTTCTACTTTGGTATAAATGGAAGCAAACTTGATTATCTTAGGGGTAATTTCATACTAATGAGAACGCACTTGGCATCCTCTGTGGAATCTTTTTTATTTCATTTTTACAGAAAGGGCACATTTGCAGTTTGATGCTTAGCACCAGTTAAAGAATAAATTTTGACTTGCGTGTGCTTCAGCTTGTTGCCTGAAAGCAATTCCTAGAAGCATTATCTGAAGTATTCTCTTATATGCCTATTGATGACCCACTTTCCCTAGGAATGAGGCTGATACTAGGCAAGTGGTAAATTATTGAAATACTGGTGAGTTGCTTAAAATTTTGTGTGCTTAGTAAGCAAGGATCTTCACACCTTATTTAGAGATGCTATGGTGAGAATGGATGGTTTCCAAAATTATTATCAAGTCTGATGTTTTTTTTAGGCTTGTATGAAATTTAATGGGTTTTGACTGACTGTAGCATAGGTAAGAAACACTGTCATCTCTTGTATCATCACATATGGCAACAATTGATGACTGGAGTGAAAGCATCATTCATTCAGTTCTCCTATACAGTTAACACAGATGTAGCAAACTAACAAGGCAGTTATTGGTGATATCTGTATTTTTTCATTTAGCCTTAAAGACGTTGAGTTGATTCCCCGTGCTCCAGTAAAATTAATTTAATTTGTTCACGTTTCCACATGGGTATTGGGTCCCAGTAGTGCTCCACAGACTGGGTTGAAAGCAGTCAGAGGATGGATGGATAGCACAGCAGTTACCTGGAAAATCATTACAGCTGCTGCTGCAGCTAAGTGGACAGAGTTATTATATTTTGTCCAAGCTTGCATGGGGAGATAAGAAGCCGACAAGTATTCTTTATGGAGTAGAATTCCAGGAGCTGTGCTCAATGGAGATTATTGATAAAACAGAATTAGTAACCTTGTTTACTGCTGCTAGCTGTCAACCCCTAATAAAAACCAACGGGGAAAATAGTGAATGGTTCATTTATACATTAGGGAGGTTCTGGGGTAAGTTTTGATATATGGTGCTGATACAGGGAGGCACATGGCTGGACATTTTTTTGGGGGAAAAGGTGTAATGTTTGTTTAGAAAATGACCTCTTTTGTAAGTTCATTCCATTTTATTAGTGAACCACTGCAGTAACATGGCAGATAATGGGGCTCTTTGAAGATATTTTTTCCATTTTTTTGCCATGGGACCAGAAGTTTCCCAGTAGGACAGAAATGGCCCCTGTTGTGAAAAGGGACTGACTTCTAAAATCATGTGAAATTTCTGTGTTTGATTACCCCGAGTTTCATTTCAGCTGAAGGTGATCTTGTTTTCCTAGATACCCCTGAAATATCCAGCTATAAAAAGGATGATGGTCAAATTAGAAATGTATAAGTGGACAGTTTTGCTTGGACAAGGGAAACCTAGGGCAGTTGTGAATATCACTTTTAATATTATATAGGCAGGACAGGCGTGTGGTTACATGAAAGTCACCATTATTGTACTGTATTTTATTTAGAAAAAAATTACAAGAAGCCTTCCCTACTTAATTAAGGACATGCTGTTCAAGAGGCTAGGGTAATTGTATAAACACAAATTTTCATCGACTGCGTTCTGGAGTCAAAAGTAGAACAGTAATTAACTGGGAAACGGAAATGAAAATCACGAGAAAAAAATATATATCTCTTATAACAGGAGTGATCATTATCTCATATTGATTTTTTTTAGGATAGTTTGGGTTAAATATGCAGCTGCTTTCTTTTTAATAGTTCCCCTGAGGTTGTGATCCAAACTGGTGCAAACATGTTGAAATACTTGATATGCCAGGACTGTAGGCATGCAGAAAGAGAGATTGTAGGACAGTAGTGAATTTTTTTTTATTTAGTTCTGTAATCTGTACCAATAAGCTGGTAATGTTTCAATTTGTATGAGAGACAGCTGACATGGGTATTAGCATTAAGAAAATAGTTTATAGTGTTTTGGATGCCTGTCTGTTTCTTCTTAGCACTTTCAAATAATTATTAACTAGGTATGTGCATGGCCATATATTCTCTCCCTGATATCTTTTATGGTAAAGCTTTTTGCCACATCTATTCTTTCCAGTTTGCTCCAAGAGGTGTAATGTTAGTTTTTTTTTTATGGGGGGGGGGGGTCAGAGAGATTTAAGGTAAAAAGTAGATGCGACTATGGGCAAAATAGTGAAATACTCATATATAACTGATAAAGATGTTTGTTTATCTTTAGAAAATCTGAGTAATACCTCTTTGTAAAAGGAATAAAAATATCAAATTAAACAGTGACATCATGTTATAATGGTATCATACCATTGTTAAATTAACCATATTATGGTTAATTTTTAACCTCCACAAAAGCCAATAGACCAACAGTTGAGAATATTTGGTTGAATAGTGGGCCACTCCCATCTAATTTGGCACAGTGGCACATTAAGATGATGGGCTCAAAGGTAAAGTATATGGATTCAACATGAAATGTTAACAGTTAAGCACGTTAAGTACCTACACTTGCATATGTGATATACTAAATACATACCTGTATACCTGCCTTTTTTATCATTTCAGAACTGAAGATCACTGAAACTAGGACTATTTTTAAAAAAATAAATCACAATGGGAAATTCTAAATCCAAGAACAAGAACAAGTTATCAAAAGAGGATGTAGATTATTTGGTTGCAAACACCAATTTTGACAAAATGCAGATAAAGCAGTGGCACAAGGGGTTTCTGGTAAGTTCTGTTTAGTTTTGTCTTAAGAAAAATGGCACATTGTAATTGATGAGCTATAAAGCTATCCTTGCTAAGATCATATCCTGATGACGGTAATGCCTATATTTTTGTGATGAGTGATGTTTTTCATTGTTTACTGATCTTAGAATTGTCTGGGATTGGAAGGAAATGATGGGGAAATGACTTCTTCTGAACAATTTACACAGCCACAAAAATGATAGCTGCAAAAAGCAAGACAGTCATGAGGTCAGGTGAACTGGTGATAAACCTAGCTTTTACCAGAAATTGAAAGCTTTTTCAGTACACTTAAGATTAAAAAAAAAAAAGAAAATTGATATTTTTTGGTTACCTGAACATGAGAAACAGGTGCATCTAAAACCCACACCTGTGTTTGATTGTTTTTATTTTCTTTCATTTAGTTTCTCTCATGCAGACCTTCTGTTTAAAAGAAAAAAGAGTTCAAATCAGCTCAGTGCATCTGTAAACATTGTGATAAACACTAGTATCCTCAATGTCCCTGCACTTATGTGTAATAATAAGGAATCAGCTCAGAGTTTCATATGAACCAATGATATTATACAGGATTCTTGCATACATTAATTAATGATTGAGCTTGCTGTGGGATGTTTGTTATTTCATTGTGAGCCAGTGATTAGGTTCTAGGAAAGAATGCATTATGGATGCTGATTTTGAACATTTTGGTTGAACATTTTTGGTAATACATTCGAGATTATTGTTGTACATTTGTTTCCAAATCTCTTTATCAGTGAGTCACTTCTCTGGAAATTTGAAATTGGAATGAAAGTCAGGACGCTCAAATAAGAATATTATAAGGGTGTATTCAGAACAAGTTGATCCATGGACTAACAGATCCATGGATCAAATATGGCCAACCCACTTGAAAGCTTGCAGCATAATCCTCTAATAGACATTGAAGAGATTTTCCAGGGGGATTATGTGGCAAGCTTTCAAGTGGGTCGGCCATATTTGATCTGTTAGAGTTAGTGGATTAACTTTGGTTGTGCATGTGGCACAAGAGGCAAAGCTGTCTTTTCATGTATATCTCTAAAATAGGTCATGTCTTATTTATTTTGAAATGTTGAAACAAAAACATATAACTTCTTGTCTGTTTTCCCGTGTAACATCTGTGAGAAATGATATAATAAGACGGTATTTGAAGGAAACTATCATTAGGGCATATCTGTAAAGGCAATCTGGTAGCTTAGAGTCACAAGCCATTCCCTAGTTTGAATGAAACAGAGACTTTTTCATCATTTTATATTTTTGTGTTTTGAAAATGCACATCTTCAGTTTTATGCAGCTTCTTGTTATTGATTTTTATGGCAAGGTTTTAGAGATATTAACCAAGTGAATTAGGCCCATTTTGGGAAATTAGTTCCATTGTGCAACCATTTTTATTACTAATCCATTTAATATTTGTTAAGTGTGTGTGTGTGTGTGTGTGTGTGTGTGTGTGTGTGTGTGTGTGTGTGTGTGTGTGTTTGTGTGTGTGAGAGAGAGAGAGAGAGAGAGAGAGAGAGAGAGAGAGAGAGAGAGAGAGCAAGAAAGCAATAGTGGGAGAGCATGCATTAATGTCTTTTTTCTGTTTTGTTATAGATATAGATATAAATATCTGTTTTGTTATAGATAAAGATAAGAAAATATGCACACATCACACAACTCCCTGTATATATTATATATGGCTCATTATGTGTAAATTATCATCAGGGAAACTGGTAATCAGATTTTAAATTGGAACCATTGATGATTGAACAGGATTATTGATCAAATTTTCTGCTGCTTGGGTGATAGCAGATTGTTTCACTGTGTCAATTTTGGGTGAAAAGCCAGTAAGTGTTAACACAAAGTGTTGAGAGTTTTTCCACTGAAAGATGTTCAGATCTGCCTTGCATTTATCAATATCGTGTGGTATGGCTCCCCATCCATTTGTTAACAAATCTTTTACTGCTTACGTAAGGACTATCCACATCTACATCATGCAGTGCTGTATATCATACCAAGCTGTAGAACTACATATAATTAGTAATCCGGCTTTAACTGACTGATGTAGGACTGGTATTTTCTGACAGGCACTTATACGTCATAACTAAGGCTTAAACTTGTGTTAGTAACTCTTGTACAACATTCTGTCTAACCATGCCCTGCAAATCAACTGTCTGGCTCGTTTTCTGCCCATCCTGTTTTTAGTTTATCTTAACCTAAGTTTTTCTTATACCATCTTGAAGTAATCCATGATTTGCAGACAGATATGTGGATCTTGTTAGACCCTGCTTATCATTTCATAGATGTCTTTTTCATTTCTGTTGGTGAATACCTGCTAATGATATAGCCCAAACTAACATAAAATTTATTGTATTGTATATCGTACTGTAAACAAAAGTTCATACAATCCATTGGAACATAGTCAAATTTTTGGCTTTCTGTAAATTCTGAGTCCATCCTTGAGCCATGATCACACTGCAGTATAGCTCAGTCCATGTTCATATTGCAGTACTGCTCAGTTCATGTTCACACTGCAGTATAGCTCAGTTCATGTTCACACTGCAGTATTGCTCAGTTCATGTTCACACTGCAGTATAGCTCAGTTCATGTTCACACTGCAGTATAGCTCAGTTCATGTTCACACTGCAGTATAGCTCAGTTCATGTTCACACTGCAGTATAGCTCAGTTCATGTTCACACTGCAGTATTGCTCAGTTCATGTTCACACTGCAGTATTGCTCAGTTCATGTTCACACTGCAGTATGGCTCAGTTCATGTTCATACTGCAGTATTTCTGAGTCCAGAAAATTGTACTCACTAGGTGAAAAGGACCTAATGTGCTCACAAGTTGCACCAAAATGACCTCTGTACTATTTGCATAGGTTGAAAGAAGAAACCAACAAAAATGACTGCCCAACACGATATATTTCATTGTGCTACTTGTAATTTTTATAATTGTCACGCAACAAGGTGAAACCTATTATTTGGGTTGAATGTTTGCATGCAGTCAATTTTCTCACACTTATTCTAATTTTATTGCTTAGATAACTGGTAAGTCTAAGTAGAGTAGCTTTAGTCACATACTCTGTGCAGTTTGATAAAATCACTTATGTAGTCAGTTTTATCATAAATAAATGTGTATTTGAAGAGATATAAACATAGTCAAGGGTTCTTGTAAATGTATAAACTGATTTCTCATTATCTGTTTTCTTTTCAGAGAGATTGTCCTACTGGACAGCTAAGTCGCACTAAGTTCCTGCAGGTGTATTCTGAATTTTTCCCCAGTGGTAACGCGGAGGAATTCTGTGAACATGTATTCAGAACTTTTGATACGGACAATAGTGGGAGAATTGACTTTAGTGAATTCCTATTGGCTATCAATATCACTTCATCAGGAGAGCCCAAAGATAAGCTCAACTGGGCATTCTCCATGTACGACATCAATGCAGACGGAACAATAGAAAAGAAAGAGATGGTGCAGATTATAAGGGTAAATATTTCTGTAAATAGTTTACTAAATACTAGATTGGCTAAGAACAAGATTTGCTTCATCTAAATGTATTTTCACTAAAGAGGAGGCTGAATGTGCATCCTTGTCTTTGGAAATGTACTTTGGATGAAGCATGTCTGATCTTTTCAGTAGCTTCTCTTCTCCCAGTGTACTTAAGTATGTTTTCTGTCATTTTGCTTTGGAAGAAAAAGAGCCATTAGCTCAATGTCAGTGTAATTGGATATATAGCAAGCAGTCTCGGGAGTTAATTCAATGAAAAAACAATGTTAGGTCTGAGGGGACTCCTCAGGTGGCACTTCCCTACTTAGGATCTATTGTCATTGACGTGCTAAGTGTTCATTTTCAACAGCCCTTCACTGAAAATTGCCCCCAAAGAAGCAGATAATTTTGGCCACCGAGATGAAAATTATAGCAGTTCAAATATGACAAAGTATTTTCACAGTAATTTACACTGCTTGCGTCTCAGGAATGAAGTACCAGTACTTAGTTAATCTATACAGGGGATAATAAGACTGGGTTCCCATACCTAGATTGATCTAACAGTATCGATCCATCTCCAAGGGGTTTGTCGCAAAAAATGCTTTCAGCTTAAGCAGCTTTGATGATAATTAATTACCCCTTAGCAGCATCAGTAGACGTGACAGACATCAAAGCTGCTTATGTTGATTGCAATTTAGAGAGAATCCCCTCAGAGATAGATCGATCCACAGTTAGTACGACAGGGTCTGGGAATGGTCCCTAAGTTCACCCATGAAGTATTGCTGGTGGTAACATATCTACATGTAAACTTCCGTGTAAAAGAACTTCTGTGGCATGCACCCTAAGTGGTGATTTGATAATCTGCAGATTCATGGAAAAGCAAGAAATTGTTTCAAAAAGTTTTGGTATCAGACTGTCCTCCATCCAACCAGACATGCAAGAGAAATAACCCAATAGAACTTTTTATCTCTAACCCATAGATGGAATTAGGTACCTTCTTACTTTTTCAAGCTCAAATATTTTGTTAATTGTATAAAGTTACGTCTTAAACATCTTGAAAGATATGTCTTAAACATCTTAAAAGATTGAAATATATTGCATCCATATTCAGTCACTATATTAGTGTGTCACAGACACTTTACTTCTGGGGTCTTAAACATGCAAATGAGATCGCATCATCTGCTTCAAATACGGAGTAATCAAGTCTCTCAATTTGCTGTTAATCTTAATGTTTTGATATATGTTAGTATGTTCACACGGTGGACTGTTTGGATAGCTCTGTGTATACTATTTCTACCAGTTAAGCACTGTTTACCCCATTCCTCTCCTGTTAAAACACATAAAGGATAAATCTATTGGAATGATGCAAATTTCCGAGAGCCAGTGCACTATAGATAATTATTTGCTTAAGTCATTTCAGTGTGATAGAACAGATAATAGAATGTCAATACTTTATCTTGTGTAAAAGCAGTCAACTTTTCCTAATATGTTTACTTCATTACCTGCTGCAGTAACTTCTGTGATAAAATGATCTGAAATGTCTTTCAGGGTTTGCACTCGGGGGCTTCTATCACGTTTTGTTTAGATGGCCGTTATATTTTGGTCAAAAGCAAAACAGATTATATTCTTTTTTTTTTTTCTTAAAAAGGGAAAAAATGCAAAATGTTGGAAATAGAATATGGTAATAGGAAAGTGCATTCCATTGGTAACACAAACATTCTATAAGCATATTAAAATGTGCATCTCCTAGGTGTAGGAATATTTTCCTTTATGAAATAAAACTTCTGGGAATTGAAATGTGAAACGTAAGAATTTACATTAAGATGTCTCATCAGCACGTCTAGTCAAATCCTGGCAGTGTGTTTGTATTGTATTTGTGTAAATTGAACATTCTGTGGTATTTTATTAATCTGTCTCCATCTGCAAATCAAACCCAGACTAAAAGATGAAAAACCTTTTAGTAATAAAGGGCAAGATGCCTGGGTATTTCAAGTAATAACAAATATGGCTGAATTTGAGATTCAGCTGGGTCTTTTTTTTATGAAGTCAAAGTTGTGTGATTAATGTGAACTGCTGTTGTTGCTCTATATTAGTATTCCATACATGTTTCCAGTAAGAGCCATTATTCTGGAGAGATCATCTACTTTGAAAAATAATACGGATACCGAGGGAGGTTTTAATTTAAACATTTATAGATGTCTTCTCCTATTTTTAGGCAATTTATAAGATGGTTGGCCACGAAGGAGTGGAATCTGACACACCAGAAGATCGCACCAACCAGATATTTGACAAGATGGACATAAACAAAGATGGTGTCCTTACTAAGGATGAGTTTATCAATGGATGCATGAATGATGAATTCCTGTGCAGGATGCTCACGGCAGATACCAAGGGACCAGACGGCTTAAAATAAGAATGCAAGCAGAAACATCAGGCCAGCAGGCAAAAATGCAAAACATGAGCATTATTTGGCACAGATATTAACATTCTACTAATGAAAGAAGAGCAACAGAGCAGTCTGGAGGAAGCATCTGCAACAGCAGCCATTTTAACCATTTCTACCATTTTTTTTTGTCCATGACTGAATTTACTTTGTATTTTATATGTATGTTGTAACCAACTTCTATTATGTAAGCTTCACTTAAAGCATCACATCTAACTGATAGGGTTTGCTTAGAATGAGCATGTTAACGACAATACAAAATATCCTAGTGGAAAACTGCCTCTTAACTGTAATTGTTATCTTGACTTTTATGAGAATGTTGATGGATGTAGTGATCCAAATAATGTGGTAGTTGTTCAAGCACAATAAGTGTCACAGCAAACACAATCATGTAGAAGACCGCACTAAGCTTGACAAATACAATCTAAAAAAGTGAGTGGAAGGTTGTTTTTAAAAGATAATGTTCTTAAGACAGATTTATTTGTAGAAAAAAAATCTGAACTACAGGTAGTTTTTTTTTCTGTTTTCTAAAAAAGAAACAATACATATTTGGCTGAAGGCTAGTTAGTGTTCTTTTACAGGTCAAAACTGACAGTCTAGGTATTTTTCCAATGAATTTACTGGTATAATGGATGCTTGACTCCAGTTTTTAAAAATGTTGTGGTTGTGACTTGTATGTAGTAGTAAATGTAGACATATAACAACTTACATGTACTTTTGAAAACAATGGATAAATGTTGCGTGGCACGCACAGGGAGTGGTATGAAGCAATATGGCTAGTTTTTATTGAAAGTATTTAAAAGATGGGTGGGTAATAAATAGGACTCTTGTTAACTGAAGGAGGACAAATAATGCATTTAAGATCTCGCATAAAAAACTGTTTTATAGCTATTGACATGTGACGTGAGGAGAAGATCTAACATATGCAGCATCTGATAACACATTGCAGACCATACCTTGAAACATTCATGTTGTGTTTTTAAGTTGTTGCTTTATGTGCAAATATATATAGATATATATTTACTTGTAGTAGGTAGTTCTGATTTTAGCTAGAGGAACACGTCATCATGTTGTCAATTAACTCAAGTTATTTTAACTTGTCTTGAATTATTTGGAGATGTCTTAACAGTGTATAAGCTTTCTCTTGGTAACATCATTCAGAGTTGATGCTTACCTTTGTTTGAATTTTAGAGTAAAACTTAAGGGATTTTAGACTAAGATATTTCTTTATAAATTAGCTGCAACAGCTTCCTTTTGCTGAAAGATGTGATAGATAAGCAGATCATGATGCACTGTGTGTGAATCTTGACTATTTTAAGCTGCCTGGAAGTCTTCTGACTATAAGATGGTATAGATAATAACAGGCATACTGGATTGCACTGGGGTCCAGAGTTCCAGACTCACAGGAAATGATGGCAACAGCCCACAAAATGGCACAAGAGAACACAGAAGAAAAAGACAGCATGGCTGGTATACAAGGAATATCAGTTGTGCCATTTCATCAGAGTTGAAGATGACAAAAACATATCTGGCACATTGGTTTGAAAATAAAGCTATATCATTCATATCTCTTACATATATAGAAATATCAATTTTCTTCAAATTGGCTGTGTGGCACTGTATAGTTAGTTGCCATGGAGATGTAAACATCAAGTTGCGTGTAAATGAGAAACCATTCAGCTGTGAACATTGTGAGGGCAGTCGTACTGTTAGCAGATACTTCAAGGTGTCATCTAGTATATTGATGCCAGGGAGAGACCACATCCGGCATCCTGTCGACCATTTGTAGTCCAGTTTCAATTTAGCTTAGTTTACACATCTTTCAGTATAATAAAAACTACAGTATAACCATCCTTATTTCTTGGTTTTTATTTTCAAAACTTTGGCCTTGTCTAGGACCCATGGAGGCATTGTCACTGAACATTACAGTGCAACTTTACTTGAATACTATATCTGAAGAAACTCTCTCTACCTTATTTCCAAGCAGAATCAGATTCTGTTACATTTTTACGAAAATTTGGCGCCACCCAGATATGTGGTTCTTCTGATTAAGACTGGGCAAATTCAGATGAAATGTGTATTTCCTTTGGTTGGTATTTGTAAGTTTTTGCCAATTTTTTTCACAAAAATACAAGTACATTGTTTGATTTTGATGCCATCAATTTTTTTTTTTTTATTGTACCATGGTCTTATTTGAATAACAGATATTTCTTAAATAGTGCAGGGGTAGATTGAGGCCATCTTCTGGGTCTTCCAGAAGTTGGTCAGATTTTCAAGATTACATTGACGGGTATCTAATTTTTTCTGATGGAAGATTGTCAAAAATGGATGGATCAACAAAGATTATTTGGAAGACTGTCAGAAAATATCTGTGGATCCGCCCTGTAGTGGGTGTGATTCAATGCAAAATTGTATCTGGATGCAATTTGATCAAAATTGATATCTTATTTGTGCCCAAAGATATGTTAAAACTACACATACATGAACTGGTTACCATCAGCAGAAACATAGTAGCCTATGGTCACAGTGAATGTCCATATGTTAGGGTGTCATTGAGCGCCTTTTCATCTCCCACCACACATTGATTTTCAGAACACAGTTTACGGCCAGGATTACAGAACTATTCCTGTTCTACTAATGCTGCCATATGCATAGAGAGATGTTTGATGTACAATAATATTGCTGTGGGACTGTGTAAAGAGTATTGAATTTCCCACAAAAATCTATTGGTTCATTTTGAATCACCAGATAAGCTGCAAATGAGCTTGGATCTTTAGTTCTGAACATACAAGATTGATTGCAGTTCTTTGAGTGATTCACACTTAGATTTTATTTACGTGATTTAAGTGATCTAAGTTACCCACACACATGCAGACACACACACATGCACGCGCAATCTCTCTCTCTCTTTCTCTCTCTTCTCTCTCTCTCATGTAATACTATATACTTTGTATGTGAGTCTCAATCAGTTTCTTATACCATGTACAGATTTGAGTTGCCACATGTAGGAGAGGTTTTGTTTTAGGTGACAAGTGCCAAACAAATAATCATATTTTGTAAGACATTTTTCAGAATTGAACTTAACACATTTTTTTATACCACCAATCCATATAGTCTAAAAGCAAAGCCTTGTATTTCACCACAGATACTGATAACAGAGGCCTCTGGGAATTCCTTTATCCAGGTATGAACATTTTCTTGCCATTGGGGGATTTCATCCCTTTTAAGCAAATAAGAGTCTAGAATGTCGTCTGATTTAGCATGAAATCTAAAAAAATGGGGAATACAGGGTACTCAGAGTTTTCCTCCATCTTTGCCAATTTCTGTTCCCATCCCTGTTCATCTCAACTGTTGCATTAATAGGATGGAGGCTGCAGCAATAGTCTGAACGTTCAATAGTCCGAAGGGTCATTGGACCAAATGTTCACTACAGAACCTTCGGACCAAGGAACCATTGATTGAAAAACCAATGAAAATATTTCTGTTTTTCGGACCAATGAACCTTCAGAATATCGAGAGGCCCCCATAAAATGTGTAGACTGAATGTGCATGCATTATATAGTAAACCCTAATGTAGGTGTGGGTCAGCCTGGTAAAAGAAACATCATCATAGCATGTACCGCATTACTATAGCCATAGAGAGAATATCTTCACAGGATATTCATATATATTTCTTTGGTAAATACTACACACATATCTGTACTGTGTCCATCAAGAAAGTTTTTCAAAAAAAAAAAGACTGGATCACCGAGCTAACATCTGACAGCAGAGAGCTTCCACAGCCAGTGGGTACTGAGGGTAAACTGGAGGCAGAGGGTCACATGTTGATACAATCTGACATTTATGCATTGATATGCATTGGTTAATAGGTTTCTAGAAATAGTTGTTTTATCCCAGATTGATTTGAAGCATCCTCTCATTCTAAATGTACGGCTAGGTTTAAAAAATGGGCTAAATATGATGGTTCTAAACATCTAACCAGATAAAAGAATCTGCTAAATACAAGCTATATGTGAAATGTTATGAGATTGAACTTTTCACTTTCCTTACTAAATTAAAGCTTTGCCTTACAAATCTTTCGGTCACTCCCTATAAGTTAAAGCTTTAATTAAGTGTAGAAATTGAAAAGTTTAATCTTATAACATTATCAACATACTACACAGATGAATTTCCATTAGAACAAGTTGTGTCTGTTTCACATCAACAAGAAAAGGAATAAAGGTATTGGAATTGACTGTGTGTTACAAAGGAAAATGAAAAAAGTCTTAAGATAAATACATTGGAAATCAAAATGGAAACCAGTTAGGTAAAAGAAAATGTCAATTTTTCAATAGAAAATAAATTACTTGTCGCTTTGCCCTGTTGATTTACCCTATAAAAGAAATCGTAGATATGAATGAAGTTCCATTTGTATATGTTGTCCTGGTTCAGATCTTACATAAATATTATGAAATGCAGCTTAATGGAACAATGCTGCCACATGATTTTCAAGCTTTTTCTGTCACGTAAGGAAAAATATCAAGTAGAAATGTCACACTATTCATTTGAGATTGCAAGTAAATGTTAAAGAACAGTGTCCTATTGACAAGATCAAGTCTGCATTCTCGGGTCCTCGGGTGCTGATGGATTGCAAATATGCATTTGACTGAAAGTCTTCCACAAGACAATAAAGTAACCACTTAGAGCTGGTTCAGGGTTAAAAGCATTGCGGCTAAGCTTTCCGGGTTAATTACTACATTGTTTGACAGGTAGGCAGAGGAAATGACGGCCGAGTTGTCATATTTTGTTAGATTTCATGCTTGAAAATATAATAGACCAAGAAATGAATCATATTCTGATGCCATCTATAAATTATGGCATGCCTTTAAATATATCTGATATGTCAAGTATTAAAAATTCATTGTGTTTCTATGAATGTGATGTTGCCAAGGTCTAAATGTGACTGGATCTTTTCTTCCTGTAGTTGTATTGCCAGTGTACAGGTAGTGCAACAGACTGATACAAAATGGGCATAATGTATGGCTTCTCCGTGTTTCTGTGCGGTAGTATATACTACACTGCCACACACCTGTTCTTATTCTTATGTTTTCACCTGGAAGAACATCTTATAAATAACTTAAGATGATTTATATTCACCATGAGTGGAGACAATTGCTAATGTTTAGTGTGATTTAGGAATTTGTGGAATATTTTGTAATTGTCATGCAATATCTTGTTGTAAGTTATACCTGTAGGACTGCACCATGTTATATATTTTTAACATGATCCTCTCCTTTGTATCATGTGTCAGAAATATTGGGAAAACACTGGTGTAAAGTATTTTTGCTTTGGTGAGAAAGGACTTCAGTAACTACTGTTATTACACTCTATGCATCTTTGCATGCACATTTGGGAAAAAAAGCCATGCCTTCACAACCACAAAGCAACTATCATAATTTGGGCTATGGATGATGTATTGTTGAATGAATACATTTTGAATATTGCACAAAAAACAGTTTTAAAGAAATACCCTATCTTTTCATAATTTGATGTTTTATTTTAGACACAGTTTGAGTAATTTATCTTCTTTTATAGAAACAATCAACACTTATACTTTGAGGTACTCACTGCAACATTTAATTTTGTTAATGATGCATTGTACTAAACTAGCTTTTTTAAGTGAAAATTATTTATCACAAGCCATCATCTTCATTTATTGTCCGTGTCATACCCGAGGTCCAGTGTACTTATATCTATTATATTAATAACATAAACATATACATGTTAAAGAAATTTGAATTCCTTACCTTTGCCAAAAAAACTATGATCATGAGGCATCTTATTAGACGAACACCAGTAATATAGTTTTTACGAAACAAAAGACTTATTTAGGCATATGACTGAAAGAGATAATTACCTTGCTGTAAATCAATACACAATCTTGTAATTTTTTATTTCGTAACATCCATGCACATTGGTGAGCAGAGCTCCATGACATAGGCCCACCAGATGATTCTTCAAAATGGAACTAGTTCCCAAGTTGAAGTTGAAATATGTCACAGAGAAGCCCTTCGTCATAAGACAGCTTATTAGACTGGTGACAGATGCTTATTACCCACAAGTTTAATTATTTTATCGAAGGTAGAAAAATTAATACCTAATGCGGTTTTGTATACACGCGAGATGGGTTTCATTGCATGTTTTACCAGTCCTAGTCCCACCCTAGGTGTGATGTATTTAGAGGTATTTGAAAAAGCTTGATATAAGCACTGTGTTGTTTAAATACACATCCACCAAGTGGATATATGCTGGCTAGAGTAGTTATGAGGGGTTGATGATAAACTTTCTGCAGCTGCATTCAGTTGTAACAGTTACAGAGGTTTTGCCTTAACAGTTGGTGTGTTTTTTTGTATGATGGAGAAGCTCCAGGTCCATTAACTAATAAATGTGGCGTACATGTATTTTTATACAATTGATGTTCTCCTGTTTATACACCTTGTGCAAGCAACAGCTTGGTTTTACATATCAGACGCACCTTGCATTTTTTTTTCCTATTCACAACCATGTTGTACAATGTAGATAATTAAATATAGATAAAACACATTTTTGTTAATTAGTCAAGTCTGAATATTCACATTTGGGACGTAATGATGAGCATCCTGATGTTAAGTTTACATGTGATGACATTTAATACATTTAATTGGTTTTGTTTTCTTAATGATAATTTAAAATGTGAATGACATCAGGTAAAATCAGTACAACATCAGAATCCATATCAAATATCCTTGATCTCCAAAATCAGTAACACCTACACGAGGGGTCAAAGTACTATGAATGGTTCATCAATATTATTGGTTTTTATATTACCTTCA